ACTAAATACAAACTAAATACAAACTAAATAGCTAAATATTTAGCTTGCAGATCCCCAAGCCGGATCTAGGCGCGCGAAGTCTTCGTAAGCGCCACGGACGCGTCCGCGCAGGCCGCCGAAGCCGTCGCCGACGCCGCGGAAGCCAAGGCCCGGGCCGGCGGCACCAAGGGCGCCACGCTCACGCTGAGCCGCGAAAAATGGGAGAGTTTACGAAGCCTTGTCCATGTGCGGGGTTCGGTAACACGCAACCCCGCCCAAGGTTGTTTGACTGCGAGGACCTAAATTGTAAGGGGAATTGTAAAAGAAGTGGTGCCAATGGTGGCCTCTGTCAGGGCTGCCGCCAAGGAACGGCAACACAAAAGAAGAGGAAAAAAACAACAACCCACACTTCGGAGGCCCCCGTAGAGGATCCCTCCGTCCTCCCTTGTGATGTAAGAGTGACACAGGATGATATAGATGAGTTAAACAGGGTATTACATGATTTCACAACCGGAAGGAGGGTTAGGAGGGGTTTGGTCGAAATAGACTCAGCGCGCCAAATCTACATCCGCTCCTCGGCACTATCACATCAACCTGTGATGTCCACGGATGATGGTGATGTAAGCTACGACGCTTTTGACGCCCTCGATCAGGATGTGAAAGGTAAGCTGGTTAGCTGGATCAACCTCGCGGTCGACGCAGCCTCGGCGCGTCTTGGATACGAGTATAAATTTTCAGCATTCTCGTTGCTTTTTTCATGGAACACTCCAGAACAAATATACCACATCGATTTAAGGAAGAGCGCTTATCAGTTTGCGCTGATTCTCACAGAAAGTGAAAGTACGATATATTCAGATGCCACGATGTCGCTCGACGACGCGTGCATCGAAATGGGTATCAAGCGTGTCGCGGATGAGAAACTCGCTAATTTTTCTTCCCTTCTATGCTCACTCAATAGGATCGATCATTTTCGCAAATCAATTACGAATGGCCCGGCGAAACCGGGAACGCTTTGCATGATGGGAGGCGGCAAGATTCACGCAAAGCCTGAGAACAAACGGTTCAGGGCGGTCATCTTCTTTTCCGCGTGTCCAGTTCATATGGAAGATTACGACCCGAATGAACAATACAATATATTCAGCTTACTCGACGTGCTTCATCATAAAGCTCGCTGCCCTGAAACAAAAACCATGATCAGAATGAAATTCAAAGAGCACCTTCCGTACTACGAAAACAAATACGGCAGACCCCACCTCGAGCAGGCACTCTCCCGCTTGAAGTACGAGCTGCGACGTGCGTGTTAGAATCCGAGTATGCTAGTATGGAGCATCAGCATAGTATAGCATGAGCATAGCCAGTATAAGGCAGACTTAGCTAGAGAGATAGAGAGATTTCTATCTTCATCTTCAGTGAACAGTGAACTGCATCTTGATGTTGCAGTGCACCTTACCCCACTGCGCTCCTACTGCGTATCCTGCTAGTTTTCCCTTCCCTTCCTTAATTCATTCTAATCCAGTTTCAAGTCTTATAGACAGCGAACTGAAGGAGTGACTGCCAAGCAGGCACAGAGTGCATAGCGCTCTTCTGTGTCTGTGGTGTCTGTCTGGTTAGCGTCACAGCGACGTGCCAGGTAGCACCAGGCTCAGCGAGGTTGCACAGTCGCCGGACAGTGCACCTGCTGGATAGTAGTTTGACTGACGTCATAGCGACGTTAGGAAGCTAGTAAACTATCCTAACTTTCTAGGTGTGGGCCGACGCTCGGCCTCCTGTGAAGCCTCGCTTCATTCTTTTCTCTTCTCTTTACCCGCTTCGCGCTCTTTCTCTCGCTTC